CAACCGAGCAAGACAGCCTGCCCTCCCATGAGCTCTCCAATCTCTAACGGACGTCTGGGGGGGCGAGCCGTGGTAAAACTCGACGACGTCGTGTGCGCCCGAGGGCGACTTTCGCCGGAAGCCTACACCACCCTCCACTCCTTCGCTCACCTCCCTAGAGCCCGCATCTCCCCGCCTCTCCCCGCCTCTCCCCGCCTCTCCCCGCATCTCCACATCTCCCCGCATCTCCACATCTCCCCGCATCTATCAAGGAGGCCCGCGACCCACGCGTGCGAGGCGGTGAGCTAAGTCGCGCATCTAGGCAGGCCGGAGGCCGTAGGTGTGCAGCTGCTGCGAGAAGGAGCCGAGCTTGTTGTGCTTGAAGTAGCGCGGCAGCACCCCCTTTGCGAACTTTTGGGGATCGAGGATCGAAAAGGAGGCGGAGGTTGCCGAGAGGCGTATCACGTCTTGCGGCTGCCGCGGGGGAGGGGAGGGTGGGTTCGGGTAACCGTGGAGGAGGGGGAGGGTGGGTTCGGGTACCGTGGGGGAGGGGAGGGTGGGTTCGGGTACCGCGGGGGAGGGGAGGGTGGGTTCGGGTACCTCGGGGGAGGGGAGGGTGGGTTCGGGTACCGTGGGGGAGGGGAGGGTGGGTTCGGGTACCTCGGTGGTGAGGATCTCGCTCAGCTTTGTCAGGAAGGGAGGCACACGCCCCACCCCGCTGCTGCTGCCGTCCTCGGACGCGGCTCTGGAGGAGCTGGCGCCGAAGCTCGGCGCCGCCGCGCCGTTCCGCAGCAAGAGAGCGTCGTGCGCCCCCATCGAGCGGTCGGTGAGGGCCGCCTAACACCTCGGCGAACCTCGGGGTCATCTCGGCGAATCTCGGCGCCATCTCGGCCGCATCTGCGCCGCGCATCTCGGCCGCGCATCTCGGCAACACCTCGGCAACACCTCGGCTCCCTCTCCGCACCCTCTCGGCACCCTCTCGGCTCGATCTCGGCTCGATCTCGGCTCGATCTCGGCTCGATCTCGCCGTCGGTGCGGGGTGCGAGTGCAGCTGCACAGACTCGGGCACGGCTCCGCCGCCGTCGAGGAAGCGGGCGATGACGACGCCGAGGTAGTGGGTGACGGTGCCCTCGGGGGCGAGGAGCGGCGTCACCTGTGTGTGTGGGGTGGGGGTGGGGGGTATGGTTTGGAGGGGGGGGGGGGGGAAAGGGCCCGACATTCTCCCTTTGGCTCGTCTG